GAGAGAGAGAGAGAGTGTTAGCCCCTCTCCTCTTTAATTGACTCAGAGTGCCCGTCACAAGAGAACTATGACATTAGGTGGGTGGAGGACCGTCGTACGAACGCTCGAGAATCTCGGAGACTCGACGTCACGGGATGAATTAGCTGGCGCTTGGCCGGTTCGCGTGTCACGGTGTTAACTACGTTTTCGCTGACATCACTTGGTTAGCTCTCGATAATTGCTGAAAATAATCCGGATGAATCGTCACCATTAGCGACGAGGCGATTCCCCGTCGCACGAACAACGCGAACTTCATCGACGGCGAGACAATGTCGATTTGCCGGCGAACGACAGAAATAGCCGCGGCGACTTAGACTCGGCTAAATTCGCGCGAACGAGTGCATCTTCAGAGTTATTCTTAAGAGATCCACGAGAATCGCGAGAGCTCTTCTTCATCCTCGCGGAGGATGTGTCAAGAGGGCGACGTTTCGAGATCTTCGCGTTTGTTACGCACGAAGCCACGCCACGCTTGAATTATCGATATATTATGTAATAATTTTGCAATAAAAATATATCATAAATATATATATATATATATATATATAATATATAAATATATCATAAATAATAAAATATATTAGCTAAATTAAATTACAATTATCTTAATTAATCTTCGAGTTTTCACTTCATACTAAATTAAAACTTTCTCTTTCTCTCTCTCTCTCTCTCTGACATTATGAAACACAGGCATGCACTCTTGTCACGCAAATGCTTCCGTTGTGCTTTCGACTGTACATCGCTATTGAGTTGTTTACTTTAAGTAAAATCAAGTTAAATTCGTTTTTTGAAACTAAGAGGATCTTTATGTCAAAAACTGACTTTCTGAGAACATCAAATTAATGTTCAACTCATTTCTTTTGCGTTTTTGTTAACTTATAACATGTTCTGACTTTAACGTTTTATTCGAGTAAATATTGGCTTTGCCAAAAGTTTATTAATCGTAATTGGTGCGACAACATAAAATATAGATTCCGTGGATTCTCTATTCAGGATCGTTTGGCTATCGCTCAACGTGTGAATCATTGCGTCGAGGATATCTATTAGCACTTTCGTTGCGCAAACACGCAATGCGCTTTTTCGTTAGCGTCGCTTCGAGACGCGTATTGTGAAAGAATGCAATGACTCTATTCCGCAAATGCATCGTAGCGAAATATTTCTCTAGTAACGCCCACTCGATCTTACTCACGTCGAATAATTGAGTGGTGATTGATCTACGGATGAATAAGAAATCTTTTGCGCAATCGAAAGGAAATATTGAATTCTTATTGAAATCTCTTCGCGAAAGGAAGGAAGTTACTCACTTATGAATAATAGATTTCGTGACGCCTTTATTTTCACGGATTATTACTCGTATTTAAATTTAAAATGATAAAACTAAAAATAAGAATTCTCTCTACATGTACTTACCTCGCGATACTAGATAAAAGAAGAGCGTTAATCGTGATAATAAAATTTAATTTCTTATAAATTACAATCTTTCATTAATCGAAAATATAAGAAGGAGGAATAGTTACGAGTACAACAATCATCTCAAATTACGCCTGATGTTTCAACATTGTTTATCTACCCGAGTATATTATTTAAAAAAAGCCCCGTTAACACGGGGTTAATGTTAATGATTAATGTTCCTCCTTAATTTTGCAGACTCTTCGGACATCGTTGACTGTAAACTCAAGTTGATCCTCGGTCTAATATGGACTCTGATTTTGCATTACTCAATCTCGATGCCCATGTGGGAAGGCGATGACGACCAGGACAAGGGCGCTACCCCGAAGCAAAGACTCATGCATTGGATCCAATCGAAAGTACCAGATCTGCCGATCACGAATTTTACCTCCGATTGGAACGATGGCCGTGCGGTGGGTGCACTCGTTGACGCCGTTGCACCTGGGCTTTGCCCAGATTGGCAGGACTGGAATCCGAAAGATGCAATCCAGAATGCATCCGAAGCGATGGGTCTCGCTGACGACTGGCTCAATATTCCTCAGGTTCGCTGTAACAATTCATTTAATTTTAAGCTTTAGCCGAAAGAAAATAGATCCATACAGCACAGATCCTTGCAGCAACATTGCTGCAATATTGTATAGCAATATTGTTGCAATATGGTTGCAAAGTTTGTACTATATCGGCATCAATTGGTATTAATTTCATATGGACTTTGCGTTTGATATACCTTGATATACCTTGAGATATTAATTTAATTTAATAGATAATATTTCAAGGTGTATCTGTAAAAAGAACTATTTAATTAACATGTAGTATAATAACTAGGAGATATATAACAAAGTACTACTAGATTTAATGTTTAATTCCGTGATGAAGAAACGTTTCACAAATTGCGCCATTCTCGTTATAGCTTATTAAACCCGAAGAGATGGTGAACCCAAACATCGATGAGATGTCAATGATGACATACCTGTCACAATATCCCAGCGCAAAATTAAAATCAGGTGCACCTCTGCGCTCCCGCACGAATCCAAACAGGTAAGAATAAAAATCGCTTATAATATTTCTTCTGAACTTTTTAAAGTAATATTCATAAGAGGGTGTTTCATATTTTGCATTTATTCTCGTTATTTGTATAAATATAAATATTTGTATAAATATTTGTACTCTCATTTTTAATATTTTATATATCTTATATGATTTTTATTTTTTGAGACTATATTTAGACTGTGTTTAGAAAAATTATTATAATCGGAGCTGTTTACTTTGATTTCGATTGTGAAAGTAATATGAAATAATTATATGAAAATTTTTCCGTTTCGACATAATATTTGATAAAAATGTAGAAAATAGATAAAGTTACGCGCGTAGATTTCTAATATAGTGACTGTGATTAATTAATCAATTTATTTCATTTCTCGGTCGCAGCATCCCACCGCCGCGGTAAGTCGCGCAATGATCATATATTGTGACGATTTTTGCGCAATTAATATCCGCCGCCTTGATCGTAGCACACAAATAAAATCTTAACCCTCCAATACTTTTAATTTTTCCCTACATATATGTACGTAAAACGCTTGATACAGCAAAATAGCATAGTACGCGGCTAATAAATACTTGCAAATTTGTTGAATAGAAAACGAGCGAGAGTTTGATTAGCTGGAGCTGACATTTATTCTATATTTCTTTCCGAGTTTTGCGAATAAATCGATTTTTCTCTTTTTTTCAAGCGCTTAAGTAATACCATTAATTGATTTCTCTCTATACGTGTACATGTGAAAGTCACACGGAAAGTCGAATTGGACTAACCGAATAGTGAGTGGCCGCAAGTTTGCAGCAACGTTGCGCGCTTGCAAATTTGTTTTTGAAAAGAACGACGCAATTCGCGCGATCACCGTAGCACAAAGCCACGCTTGTAACCGTCTGGCAAATGGATTTACTTAACGTATTGATGTAACAACGTTGCGGCCGCCGGTTGGCAGCTCGCAAATCATCTTTGCTTATGGTGTTTTCTTGCGCAGAGTGCGCGCTTATGGTCCCGGTATAGAACCAACCGGTCCGATCGTCGGTGCGCCGGCCAACTTCACCGTGGAAACCTTCTCCGCCGGCAAGGGCAATGTTGACGTCATCATCGATGATCCTAAAGGGAACAAACTACCGGTAACGACCTTAATATTATTTCATCAGAAACATATCCTGGCCTTAAAAAATTGGCTCAAAGACGAATTGTTTTAAAAAATTTGAAATATGCGTCTTTAATGTAC